GAACCACTGCCTTAGACGATCCCTTGTATAGTACCTAATTATAAAGATGGATAAAAATGCTATAGTGACTTATGGTTAATAACAGGATTAAGGAAGAGGCAACATTAAAGTGAATTTATGATGGTATAATGCCTACGAAACATAATGTACTGATATATGAAATTTTCAAAGCAAATATCTTACACCATGACATAAAAAGAATGGCTGTGGCATTACGTTGTTACAATATGAAATTATAAAAAAGCGGTAATTGTAAGGTTAAAGGTGCTTTAAAACACAAGAGTACTAACTTTTAAGTATTCGCCCGATTACAACGTCTGAATAAGTATCAACCTAAAACTAGTGACATTGAATGTGGGTTGTAATCTCGGGATTCATAGAAAAGAAACCCGGATTTTGGGGATTAAGTCAGTACCTGTTTACACTGGGGCTTTTTCTTTTTTCGTACTCAGTACAGCTCGATTCGTTTATAGAACAGTTTGAACATCAAAGTTCGATTGGTAAACGAACCGAACCAGAAGAGGTGGTCTCGGTTCATTTCGTAAAAGAACTGAGTTTGTTTCGCTTGAAAAACTTTAATGTAAACACTGGAAAGTCTCGGTGAGTGCTGACAAATCACGGAATTGAACCACGAAAACAAACTCTAGTTAATTTCCAAACTTTTATACACAAAGTAAGTGTGAACAATTAGTACATTCATCAAAGCAAATAAATTCAACTTAGACCGTTTGAAACGAACCCAGTGTGAATAATGCCTTCCCAGGCCAGAGGGATGTCTATTATATCCTCCGATTTTGTTATTCTTACAGTGGCGATGCTTAACCAAATTTCACGAAACTTCAGACAAATCAATAAATAGCGTTTAGTTTTGGCCTTGAAAAAATTGTATAAATGAATTTAGTATTTCTATCATTTTCATTAGACTCACTATGTCACTTATGTCTTCCATAAGCTCAGTACAAATTCATTTATTGAATGTATTTTTGTGTCCTTTACTTGATGTAAACTACATAAAAATCGTTTATTTTCTGTAGTTGTTACTGATCTGCCTGCCTTTAAACAGATTTTAAATAAAAATCGTTTCTTTTCTGTAGATTTTACTGATCTGCCTGCCTTTAAACAGATTTTTAACCAATGTACTTCCTTGATTAAATTTTCTTAAAAAGCTAAAAGAAAACTGCCTGTACGTAATCATAATTGCTTACACTCTTTATATTGAACTTGCTGGATGATGGTGATGCAGTCAAATGTACATACAAAATGGACTGTAGCCAAGCGTTCATGTGGTAATATATCAATTTTTATAACAAAGCTACTCGTCAAAGGTCTTTTAAATTTTACCAGTTGCCTGTGTTCGCATTATTGTTTAATCATTTAAGTTAGGTAAGAAATGCAAATGGTTTAACTACTTTTGATTAAGATAAAATAGAAGTAAATAAATAATAGATTTAGATTTGAGTCATTAAATTTCCAAAATCCTGGGATTCAGGAAATCCTCGAGATTGCGACTCCTAAGCTTAACGTTTTACATGAAACTGAATTGTTTCAGAATTTTTGCACAAAGTTGCTCGAGGGCTATCTGCATATAGCCGTCCTTAATTTTGAAGAGATATACCAGAAGGAAGCAACTAGTCAACACTTGGGCTAATTTTGTGTGGCTTTGACCACCATTCTTATGGAGTACCCACGGCCTAAACATGGCGCATGTTTTTGCAGCAAAGGGCCACAAACCCTGAATCCTCGAATTCGTTGTACGACATGCTAACACTTAAACATGCACGGCCCCCTGAAGCTGGAGACTCTAAAACTAGTGACGTTAGTTTTTGCGAGAAGCCTGTAATTCTGTAACTAGTGGCCTTGACTTGCTAATGTGAAATTAGTTAAATTAATTTTGAAGTGAAACTTGTGACCTTGACATTTTACTTACAACAGCTGAGTGTGACACTTGTAATGCGACTATTTTTACGTTAAGCTGACTTTGAATCTGGTGACCTTGGTTTTTTAAGTGAAACTTGTCACTGAAGAAACACTGGCTTTAAACTTACATGTTAAATTGATTGCTAAAACTTATGATCTCGAAACTGGCGAATCTTTTAAGGAGTAACCTTGCCTTTTATTGCATTAAATTGATGACTGTGAGCATTTTAATATTGTTTATATTAAACTAGAGATTCTAAACTCCCAACTTGACTTTAAAATTCACCGTGAGAACTGGAACAGTCATAAAATTTACTCTCAAAATGTTTTTCATTTATCAAGTTATCGGTTTCGTTTCAGCCCGTTAAGCCCGAAAGAAGTAACTGAGTAATTTGGAAAGTTCACTACACTAAAAGTTGTAACATGGAAAAATCCTATGTTAATTCTTGTTTACAGTAGCCAATAACCCAAGTCATAAGCCTTACCCAGTAGGCTATTCTTGTACCGAATATCTGGTAATGTTTCAAAACAATCTTCGAAACTTAGAATAAAATATCTGGGGAGATGTAAAAAGTAGTCTATAGGTCAAAAAGAAAAAGTAAAGGAGGAACAAAAGTTCTTCCTGAAAAACGTTACGTGACGAAACGAGATTTAAGGGGTCTCCTCTGCAACAGAAAATACCGTATTACTTGTGTGAAACAGGAAACATTTGAAACATTTAGAAGTTCTTTTGTTTAATAGAAATAAAAACAATTAGATAATAAGTATTTAACATAAAAACTGACGTAAAATAATATATTTTACAGCAGCTTATATTTATATTTGACTGAGGACCGTGTAATACTAGTCTTAGATAATGTTTCGTGGAATATGGGTTTGGAAACATGTATAGTTTTTATTTTTTGATATGCATTTCGGTGATGCGAGAAAATATAATTTAGGTTGAAATGATACATTTAGTCTTAAGTAAGGTAGATGTTAATTTTGCATATACTGTAACAAGCACCCTGGTGGCTCAGCGATAAGTTTTGGAGCTTATAACGCAAAATATCGAGTTTGCAAATTCTCGTATAAAATACAAATAAAATAACTTACCCTACCCCTAAAATTATATCTATCCTCTTATCTTAGAAACAAAAGTATCCTTAGATAAAAAATATAACTTTGTTTTAAAATAAACGATGGTGGTAAAATTATATAACTAAATTTCACATCATATCTTTGCGAATTAAAGTGGCTAAATGTTTATTTTTGTATAATTTTAACAATCATAACTTAATACCAGATATATTCATACATATGCAAGGTACGATTACTAGCTGTAAAAAAAAAATCTTTATATGTCAAAAATAACATATTTAATTTAAATACCATGTGAAATATCAGTTTATATCTGGCGTATGAAAGACCAGTATCAATCAGCAAGTAAGACTACTGCTTGGCCGAACGCTATTGTGAAGTTAGGATACTGAACTTTGCACCGTACAGTAGACTAGTTTTGGCAATCATTATGGAATGCTATATATATTATATTTTTAAATGCCTCAAAATGGCCATATATTTAAAAGTCACAGATGCCAAAGAAACTTTGTTATGCTTTCTTTAGATGTCCCGTTGTCTTTGGATATCAGTCTATGACACCGAAGAATAATCAAAAGTTAGTTATCCAAATCCCAAGCCTGGCATAGCCTGGGGTTAGGGCGCTCGACTCGCAATCTGAGAGTTGCAAGTTCGAATTCCCATTATCTAACATGTTCGACCTTTAGAGTTGCTGTCAGGGCCAGCCACCCGAGTGTAAAAATTCTTGGCTAATACAAAATACCCGAGCGGCCGACCCCAGAACTAGATGGGATTAAGATTGAATGAAGAAGAAGTTACGTAAATCTCAGCACATGATGTACCGATTCGTGTATCAGAGGAAAGAGTGAAGACAGGCTTAAAACAGTCAGAGATATAAAGAAATACAAAAATAAAACAATTCTTTGCGTCCCTCAATGTGATGTAATCAGAAAAGAATGCATACCCGCGGGTGTTATTATATGTCCTAAAACATGAATGCTGTTCATTTGGCGTTCACTGAGCTAGGGGCCAGGAAAACGGTGCCCCTGTATTAGGCTGATTTCCTCCCCCCCTTTTTTTTTTCTATAGGCCTAATCCTGAATGGCATGTAAAATGGCTGTGAATTGCCTCAGGTATTCTAGACAAGCGGGACGATAGCTTTGAACGCAGTAACGGGTGCTGTATACCGCGATGCCAATGTTCAGACTCTGCGCTTTGTACATAATATTCACCAAATTATACGTGTTTTTACGTGCTCTAATAAAATAGTGTACTTTATAGCCTATTATTGATTCATAATAAACACATTATCTATGAAAATTTTGTCTATCAACAGCAAAGAAGAAGTTCTCAAAGAACGTCACTGAACCATGAACTTACAACGAAAAGATCTGCAAACAGTATGTTTTTGGTATTGTATTTTTGCACAAAAAACTTGGGCTATTTAGACACGCGATTAATATATGCTGTCTGTCATTGTTTATAAAATATTCCCACCTTTAGTTGTGTATATTTACTAGTTCTTTATTTAATTCTTAAGTTTTTTTGTTTTTTTTGGTGTTTATGCTTTAACCGATTTTTTAAAAAATACATCTATATATGTGCATTAACTTATAATGAATCATAAGGAGAAAAGAATAAGAAAAGGAATGAAATGCATAAAGAGACAACATAAATAAAAATAACATCCAAAATACAAGTCAAACAATACACAACATCACAACGCAATATTAAGAGTTGAAATTGATTTAAATGAAAGTAGCAATAAATATAAATTAAAGATCAATTATGGTGTCTTCATATAAAATTAGGTTATTTTCAAATAGCCCAACTCCAAAGCGTCTTACATTGATATATTTATAGTCTGTATTATTGAGAGGTCACTTTATTCCAGTTGAAACTGAAGTTAACAAGACTTCTGCATTCTAAAGGTTACAAATCAGTTGTCCTCACCAGCAAAGAGACACCAGGATTCTGTCTACTCTACACTATTAAAACAGATATAAGTTCTTGAGCAGTAACCCATAATCCTAGATTACTCACATCAATGAGAATTCCCATTTCATACGTACAAGTGGAGGTTAACTTCTATCTCATAATAACTTGTATATGCCTCTTTACCATTCCTCCACTTGGGTATGATACACACCCCAGAAGAGGAATGATGTAAGAGCATGGTCTAGCATGACCACTGTACTATATAATTAGAGCCTGATGCAAGTGACAATGAAGATTTCCGACTATTCACATCCTGTTTACTAGATCTCCACCTAACTGCAGAACACATTTGAGAAAAAAAAGGTTGCATATACCGGAATAAAGATGCATTCTTTTCTCAATTTACTCTTTCCACACTAGAGGGATATCATTGATACCCCATGTTCATTTCGTTCTAACAGTAAAACTTATTAATTAAATTGCATAAGCTTCTAATACGTAACAATACTTTCTAAATAGTGTTTAGGTTTTGTATGACAAAATCCGAATGCATAAAATATATTTAACTATTATCAAGAAATTAATGTCGCCTTTTTATATGAAAAACTCTAACAAAACAAAACATTTAGTAAATGAAATAGTCTCCATACTTATCGATGATGCTTTTTCATCTTACAATCAGGTTGTTAATGCCCTGATTACAGAAATCACTTGGCTTCGAAGCAAAAAAACATGTCGTTGTCCTCTTTAACACCTTCCACATTTGCATACGTTTTCCCATTAAGATGGTGTTGCAGCGAATGTAAAAGATGGTAATCTAATGGTGCCATATCTGGAGAATATGGTGGGTGGGGGAGGACTTCCCAAACCCAAGTTCATAATTTTATATTGCGTCAAACGTGTCACATGTGGACGTGCATTGTCATGGAGAAGAAGAACACATTTCCGATTGACGAATGAAGGGCGTTTCTGATGACGGGCTTCATTTAAACGTTCCAGTTGCTGACTATAGATATCTACCTTGACAGTTCGCTGTGGATTGAGGAGTCTGCAATGAATTACTCCTTTGATGCGGATGGAGTCCAGGTTTTAGGGTCGGAAGTAGTTTTTGTCTAGGACTGAGCCATTGTTTTTGGCGTTCAATATTCGCATAAAAAATCCAATTTTCATCACCGGTGACGATTCTGTCCAAAAATGGTTCACGCGCATTACGCGCCTGAAGAGACGAAGCAACGTTCACACGTTGGAAACGACGATCATCGGAGAGTTCATGAGGTACTCAAACACCTTCTTTAAGACGTTTTCCCATATTTCTTAGATGTTTACGTATTGTTTGATGAGAGACATGTAATTTCAGGGCCACTTCATTAGTGTGTTGCCTTGGGTTAGACTCAACAAGCGTCTTCAGAGCATCAATTGGAAAACAAGTATCTTAAAACGTGACGTTGCTTCATTATCCTTGACCACACTTAACCTCATCATTTTCAAAAGCGAAACTAATTTGTAATGAGATTTATTTCAGTTTATATTACATAGTAGTTTAATAACCACCCCTTTCTGGTAATTATCGGATTTCGGTTCTTTACCTTTTCAAATCTAAGTTCCTTTAAAGTTCTCAGGGGCTCGAACAATAGCTTCACAGTTCTAAAAACACAAAGAGTATAAACACAAAATTGAAACAAATCAAATAAGAAATGCTGGAATTTGATTGGAAGAAATAAATAGAAGTTTCAAAGTCATTAAAAACATTCAAAAACCAAAATGTGTGATGTTTAGAGTTGAAACAATTATATATAAACGACATAAATGAATGTTTAAATTTTCATTGATGAAACTAATTAGATCGGTATTGTATAATACCAAAATATGAATTCTGTTATATTTATGATATTATAAATATATTTGAAATTCAATTTTGAAACATGATTTGCAAGTGACTGCTTATACAGACTGTCGTAGTCAACACTTCTGATAAAAATAATTAAAACGCAGCAAAAACTGATAGAGATTTATCAGTGACCCAGGGCCTCACTTTACAAAATGGTCGAGATTAGTTTATTTCCAGTTATATAGTCTCTTGTATAGCTGTGTTTATTTTTATGAATTGGTTGTATACGATAAAGTTAACAATGATATTCAATGAATAAGTGATATGAAGTTTCATGATTCATGTCTCCTTATCGTCAAATAATGCACTCCTATATTAAGGTTCGTGGGTAAACTTATAACAGGAACAGTGATATACCACAAGCTGTTCATGCAAAAGTAGCCCAAGGGTTGGCGGTGTATCCTTCTCTCTAATCTATAACTTCAAAATTAGGAACAGTTAGGCAGATAGCCCTTGTGTAGCTTTGCATGAAATCTGTGATATCTCTCAGATAATTGGAAGAGATGGAGACGCGTTAGTCTCGTTAATAACTAGAGGTAAAGCCTGACATGGCCTGATGTTTAGGGCACTGTACTCGCAATCTGCAGGTCGCGAGTTCGAATCCTGTCACCGAATATACTCACTCTTTCAGCCGTGTGGCTTATATTGTGACGGTTAATCTCATTATTCGTTGTTAAAAAGTAGTCTGAAATATGAGGATGAATGACATTGATTAGCAGCTTTCCCTCTAGTCTATCACTTTAAAATTAAGGATGGTTAGCCATCGAGTAAGTTTGCGAAAACTTCAACTAATAAACAAACAAATAACTCGTTAGAAAGTTATTGGTAGAGCCTTGGGAGCCCTCAGTTTCTGATGCTGTTTCAGTCTGAGTCAGCTTTTTTCAGCTCCGATATCTAGTTTCATGTACCACATTCAATCATGTTACCACTGGAACAGCCATAATCAGAATTAAGTTTTTGCTGAAACTCATGTTGTCGCACATGAGTTTACCGAACATTCTCTCTATGAACTTATTTATGAGAGACCATGATCTCATGAGGTACATGCTTTTGAGCCTTGAACTTAATTATCCACAGGATAAAATTGTTGTTGCAGCTCAGTGATGACTGTATCTCAGTATTTGAACTGCCCCTCCAAGTGCTAGGACATCAAGTGATGAATCATTCATACTCAGCATTAAATATTACATAGCCCAACTCGTTTGAAACAGTTCAGAAATGTTTCACAACCACTTCAATCAGTGGTGGGTTAATTTCTTTTCGTACCATCTTTGTGAAATAATAGTGTACACACATATACCTGCTGCTAGCATTTCTATCACTACGTGGCTAAGACACTGTCAATATATATGAGGGAAGCTCTTCTTATTTTCCTCAAGTTTGGATACACGCATCCTGATTAATACTGTTTCCTCAGGTAAGATCAATAGGAGAATGTTACAATGTATAAAGATACGAATCTTTTTTTTTAATTTTGCATCAACCTTATTCACCTGAAACAGTCACTATCTATGCTTTATCAGCCTGAAAGGCTCCCGACTGCCCCAAAGAGTTACAGAATCGCACTTAGATGCTGCAGAAGATGGTGTCATAACTTTTCATCCACCAGAAGCATCTTACTTCTCTACCTGGTCACAAATGATCCTGGCCCGGATTAGTATCTTATATTGTCTGGAATAGTCACCAAATACTTGGGGTTTCCATAAAAGCCATTACAAGATTTATCATGCCAACTTGTCCTATTTTCGCTTTTCTATACTCCTACATTTGAGAGATAACCAGAAGATGGTTTTCTATAGCCATCATTCAACCTGAGTTCCAGAGAATGGATGAAGAACATGGACTAGCTCTCATTATTGTTGCTGAATGTCCTTGGTCTTGTAAAATCCTCACCTTGTTCCTGCCACACTACGAGGTCGTATTTCGATTTTAGCTGCATCTTCCTCTTCCTCCTGGAAGCCCCCCCCCCAATGGCACAGCGGTATGTCTGCGGACTTACAACGCTAGAAACCTGGTTTCGATACCCGTGGTGGGCATATCACAAATAGCCCATCGTGTAACTTTGTGCTGAACTACAAACAAACAAACTTTACGAGATTTTCATTTTATAATATCTGTTTATACCCTTCTGCCCCCCTCGCGTGAAGCATGTGAAACTGTATAACACTTGACGACAGCTTTAAGTGAAATTTGGTTGCTGTTATCGCACTGAACCAGATATCTACATAATGCTTATTTTTCTAAACAGATAAGCTTGCAGTTCTTCATTTAAGATTATATTTTTCCGTAGAAGTGACGTGTAGACATTTATGTGGTAACATGCTAATACATTATATACACAATATTTAATTAAGCAAATGTTCTGTTATCTAATTGATAAAATCATAAACAATGTTACTGTTTATCATGTATTGGATGTTCTTTCAATATAACGCGCTTTGTGCGTTACCTCATTCAGAACAGGTGGCTGGCATGGCTCAGTGATCGCTGTGCCTAGACTTTGAATGTAACATTAATGGTACGCGTCACGCAGTCGCATAAACGCGCTCCGTACTTTGGAGCCATCGCGGTTTA